TTCTTGTTTTCTATCTTCCACTCAAAAGAGGTTTCTTACAGCTTCAATTATGACTCCTGCTTGCCTTCTGTGAAACAGTATACCACCTCACTACAAAACCTAAGCACATCATTTGAGAATGCTTCTTTTACATAAAATAACTTAGATGGTTTTTAGGCTTTATGATTCTATAAGTCTAGAACAAGTCTGGTTATGGAATCTCATTTCTGTTTTTTTCATCAGGTTAAAAAATTAGCCTTATAAATGCTGGCAATTGGCTTTTCTATTCTTTTCACTTTTCCTTCAAGAATCTTAAAAATTCTGTGATTCTTGAATTTATTGATGTAGCCCTACTATACTCCAAAACTTCAGATTTACATTTCTGTTTGCTGCACATGATTAACTAGAGGTGTTATCAACCCTTTAAAGATATCACACAAATCAAAGAAATTCTATGATTCAAACTTCTTTGACAGTGTGACTTGTGTTCAAAACCACAAGTATCTGTATTAGAATCCTCTTTATATCACTTATTAGCTATGAGATCTTGATTAAATTACTTAATCTCCTGAGTCTCAACTTTTTTAGGGATGAAAAACAGTACTTACAACTCATATGGTTGCTATAACTTCATGAGAAATACTTACATCTTAACACAATATCTGAAATATATTAAGAGCTTGTTATAGTTTGGATTTGAAATGTCTCCTGCATGGAAGGATTGGTCCCCACTCCGGGTGTTACCAAGAGATGGTGGAACCTTTAGGAGGTGGGAATTGGTAGAAGAAAGTTATTGAAGGTGCCCTTAAAGAGAAATTGGGACTTCAGCCCCTTCTCGTTTCTCTGCTTTCTGGCCACCATGTGATAAACATTCGTGATAAACCATGGGATAAACTCCTCTGCCACATGCTCCTGTCAGGATGCACTATGCCACCATAGGCCCAAAGCAACAGATCAAGGGACCATAGTCAAAAACCTCTGAAATTCAGAGCCAAATTAAACCTTTCCTCTTTATTTATTTATTTTTATTTGTTTGCTTGTTTGTTTATGTGTGGTGCTATGGATTGAACCCAGAGCCTCATATATGCTAGGCAAATACTCTATGACTGAGCTACATGCCCAGCCCAACCTTTTTATCTTTTAAGAATATTATCTCAAATATTTTGTCACAGAACAAGAAAGCTGACCAACACAAAGCTCAGTTTTAGCTTCAATTAGCAAAAGCATTACCAGATTTAATGGTTCAGATATTTTTTAAGTAAACTCAATCAGCATTTGTACATTTTTTCATTGTCCATAATGAACTATTTTCATTCCCTTGTAGATTTCAATTATTTCTGGAGCCAACCAACTTATTAGATTGTTAAATACCCATGAGGCCTCTTCTTATTTTTGCCCCCCCCAATTACTTAGCACAATACCTAATATATAGAAGTTCTGCTAGTAGTTAATTCAAATAATCTTTACACCTACCTATTTCTTTTCAAGATTACTTAAGTTCTTGGTCCTTTCTGTATACCTACAACTGTCAAAGTCCCTTAATCACCAAATATGAACAAATAAATGAATAAATGTTGACCTGTGTCTAAATCTATCATCAATCTAGCTTCCTAGATATGTGAAAGGGTGCTCTTTTATTCTCTGATCCAATAATTTCTTCTGACCAAAATGGCCTCACCACAACATCGAGCAGTCTCGCTGTTGGTTTATTTTGTATCAAAACATTCTACTGAAATTAAGCAGAAAACGGAATTTATTAGCTCACATAATTTGAAAATCCAAGTATAGCACTAACTTCAGGCATGGCTATTGATCCCACTGTTCAAACACTGTCTCTTAGAACATGGTGTTTCTTTTCATCTTTTGGCTTTGCCTTCCTTTTACTGGCAAGCTCGTATTCTATTTTCTAGGGCTCAAAGCATGCCTCTTTCTCAATAGTTCAGAAAAAAAAATCAGAATTAACATTCATGTGTACTGATAGAAAAATGTGCTCATCTCTGAACAATCACTGTAGCTAGAGCAATGGACTATACTGATTGGCCAACAGTTAGAACTGAGTCATGTGAATATCCTGTGCCAGGATGAGATTCATGTAACTGAGAGGGGTGGTTCCCTAGGAAAACTGAGTTATTGCTATCAGATGAAAGGGGAATGAACAGTGGATTGGCAAAACTAACTGATGACTCCTATACCCTAAAACTTTTTGCATGCTGTCCACTGGATCTGGAATGGCTTTCCTTCTCATTTCAACCTACCCAAACCCAAGTTATATCTTTTCTGCTCCAAGAAGTTTTATGCAATTTCCTCTAAGATTGATCCTTGATCCTTGTTCACTGGATGCAGTCACCTATTCCCATATACATTTCTCTTTTCCTAAAGATCTATTTAAAAAAAAAAAAAAAAAAAAAACGGGTGGAGAAACTTTAAGAAAATGTTCCTAATAAGTTATATTCAGGTCCAATTACAAACAGATTAAGTAATATGTTCTGTTTCCTAGGATATGAACTCTTGAAAGACAGCAGCTCTACCATGAATACTCTATACACTACAAAAGAACAGTCTATGAAGCAATTTTGATGTAATTTTACTTAGCTTTAAATTTCCTGCAGTGTCTAAGCAAAATATTTTAGCTACTATAAATCTGAATTCATCAAGTACATACAAAAAAGCAAGACTGGATTTTGGAGTTACCTCAAACAAGGCTCCAATCCTGACTAATATTCTCTCCCCTGCTGCCCTTTAGCTACAGGTCTTTAAGCAAATTATTTAACATTTCTAAACTTTGATTTCATTATCTGTAAAAACAGGAAAAGTATACCTATTTGCACATGGAAAGGCTGCTTCACATAATAGAGAAACTAGATGTTTCTGGGTTGAAATTCTACCATTAATACTAGCTGTATGACTTTGAGTTAATTTCTCACATGTAAAGTAGGAATAATAATACTTAATTCATGGGCTGTTGAAAGCAATGTGTTCTAAAATACCTAACAGTGAAGGGTAAATAGTGAACAACCCAAAAAAATGATGTTATCAGCTTTAAATTATCTGTTAGAAGCTTTTTGTTCAAATTACCAAGGTCTGCCAAAGATGTTAGAAGTAAGTCTATAATATACTTTGTAATCTTCTTTTCAACACTTTTGACCAGATAAAGTATCAACCAAAAATACTGGTTTATATAGAAACTATGGTATAAAAGTGTGGATAATAACACGTATAAAAATTCAGAGCACAATGCAGCAATTATAGCACATGCCTGTAATCCCAGCTCCATAGGAGACTAATACAGGATTGACAACTTTCAGACCAGCAAGACTCTGTCTCAAAATAAACTAAAAAGGGTTGGGAATATGTAGTGGTAGAGTGCTTGCCTAGCATGTGTAAGGCCCTGGGTTCAATGCCCAGAACTCTTAAAAAAAAAAATCATACCATAGTAACATAAAACTTCCTTGGGATTACATATTAATCTTCACAAACACCCTTCAGTCTTTTGTTAATAAAATATTTCTTAAAAGCTCAACATATTGCTCCTAAAATGATTTAAAAGTAGGTAAGATAATGATCTAGATATACTCCTATAATCAACTTGTTCTTTAGATTCAGGTTTAATGTAATACTAAAATGACTCACAACAACATGAAATCACTGTGTCACATAGTCAGGTCCTCAACAGAACCAAAAAATTTGTGGTCTGAATGACAATTTAGATTCTGTCTGGCAGAACACATACAAAAGACAAGTGACTGCTCACATTGACCTTAGCAAGAAAGTTTAATTTTAATATCATTCACTTAAAAAACACAAATTCAGTACAACTGTTCCAAAAAGAGAGTAGATAAGCAGGCATTTAATTTCTTCCACTTTACACTACGGGAAAAGTTTCTTTGGAAGAATTAATTTCTTGAAGTAGTTTAACAGTTCTGTTTGTTTTTCCAACATGAGTGAATCACATGTAACACTTAACAGTCTTTAATGAGTGCACAAAGATAGGAAAGGTGTTAACTGCAAGATTACAAAATAAATAAAAAGGAATGAATAAGAGACAAAATACTGCACATTCCCTCACTGCAAAAGCACTACATAAAAATAAGATATTTTACTACATCATGTGTAAGCGATTGTTTTCCTTTGTGTAAAGCATGAATAGACTCAACTTTTAATCTACTCCTTGAGGAAGCTATATTTTAAACACAAGAGAAACATATTACAGTAAGTTGAGTACTTCAGTCAACATTCAGTCAGACATTGTTTCCTACCACTAAGAAAACCAAAAAGACCTAATTTCCTATTTTCTTTTCTGTGTTCAAAAATATGTAGAAAGCAAAGTAATACTTCAAGTAAAAGGTAATAACAAATATAGGCAATCTATCTTTTCTAAGTAATTTTCTTCCCTTCATTTTCCCCCTTTTTTTCTGGAAGACATTAAGAGTGGGGTTGGAAAGTAATAGGATTCTGAAGGGTGGGCTCTAGTTATTTTTACAAGTAATTTTGGCGAGTCAACCAGACCGAGGCGGAGAAAGAAGTTGCGGCTTTTGAGTTCACATTGAACACGCGCACATACACCCACCCCAAACAACACTTTCAAAAAACACCAGGGCAGAGATCGTTCCTTAGCTGACAATACAGCGACCAGAGACGACACTCCTGCTACTATAATCTAAGAGGGTGCTGCACTCCCAAGTCTCAGCGAAGTCAATTTGGCACCCCAAATCCGAAAGGGCCTGCAGAAACCGGCGGGCAAAGTTCTACTCAGCAGTGGCAGCTGATTTATTTTCTAGGAGAGACTAAAAAGTCATCCCCTTCCCTGAGAGATGCTGCCGCGCGCCGCCTCGCGCCGAGACGTCCGGCCCGCAGGCCCGGAGGGCTGGGTGGACTGGGGCAGACGTCTTTCCCCCTTTACCTGGGTCCCTACCCCAAGCCTGTGGGACCAGCTGCTTTAACTACCCCGAACCCCGCCTGAGTGGGAGGGCTCCCCCGGCGCCCGGATCTCAAGTAGTCAGAGATGCCGCAGCCCCGCTCACCCGCCCGGGTGGTGTCCGTCAGGTCGTGGTTGGCCGCTCCCCGGGGAAACTCCCTCAGTTTCCGGCCGCTCAGGCTCAGCACCCCGGTTACTGCCGCTTCCTCCAGGGCTCGATCGAGGGAGCGGCTCCACGAGCCTGGGCCAGGACCGGAGCCCGCCCCGAGGCTAGGGCCGCAGTTAACGCCGGAAAGGTTACCACCCGATGCCACTGGGCCAGAGTACTCAGCAGCCGCTGCAACAGCGACCAAGCCCGCGGCCGCCATTTCCCAGCCGACAACTCTCCGGCCGCCGCCTCTGCGCATGCGCAAACAGAACTGATGGGTGGGCGGGGACAGGGGCTCCCAGACCCGGGACAATTCCCTTGATAGGCAGAGCTTTGATGCCCCTTCGCTGGGCCGGGCTCCTGCCCCCGCCCATATGGAGGTTTTTCAAGGGCAATCAAAACAGAACCCGCAAACCTTCAGTAGCCCCCTACATGGCTCACAGTATATATCTAATACATCTCTACAAAAATCTTTAACGCTCCTCACCAAAACTTCCTTGCCTGCCTCCCTCAGGAGTAGAGGATTAGGATTAAAGATTCTTTCCTAGCACTGTTGCTGCCAGAAACTTGGGGAGTGTGAGTGAACTCTGTATATAATCTAAAACGTTTCTCAACTTGTCATTGTACTACCAGATGATCCAATTAGAGATTTGCGGGTTTACTATTAGTGATTGAGGGAAAAAATTATGTGCTAATTTGGCTCTAAATTCCATCACTCTTGTTGAAAGGGTTATATAAATATCCTCCCTTTTATAAAAGAACTCTTATGAGGACACACAATCGTAATTGTCCTTTAAACAAGATTTTATGGTTGTAAGAGCAAGATGAATAATACTAAAGTCTAAAATGCATGTCTGTTTGGAAACATGAGAAGAGAAATGCTCTGACTATAATCTAAACGTGGGAATTAAAGGTAGAACCAAACGCTCAAAATTTGAAACCATTCAAGTAATGTAAAAGTGGAACATATCCCTTCATTTTAGACCAATTAGACCTCGCTAATATTGCAATCAGGGTCTAGCATGTTTTTCAGTGTTTTCACTGAAAAATACAAGAGCCTGTCAGATTCAGTCATTTTCCTGATTATAATCTAATCTTATTGTGAAATCCAGACATATAAGTGCATAAGAACATATAGACATATAGTGCATAAGAACAATAAAGAGGGAGGATGAAGTGGGGTAGGAAGGGATCATCTATCGGAGTTCAGAGAAAAGGAATCCGCGTTATGAATAAAATTTTCAATCAGTCCTGAAGAATTATTAAGTAGAATAGGCTAGAAGCTGAGAGCAATATTCCATATTGAAAGATCAGCATAAACACATCTGGCTATGATTTGTGATGGTATATATAGAGAACATTGAGGTCACAGATGGGAAAGTTCATGTCAGAGAGCAAAAGAAAACAAGGTTGGAGATATCTCATCCATTATTCAAGGCCCAACTCTTAAAAAAAACAAAACAAAACAAAAACCCTTGATTAACACTTCCCTGAATTCCTAAATTCCCATTTGCATTTAGGAATTTTGGCAACTCAGTGCCAAAGTTGATTAGTAACAACTTTGCTCAAAGAATGTTTCTATGAACTCTTAATACTACATGCTAGTGGTCTTCAGCAAATTTCATAATAAATTACTGATGTCTGTTATGAGTGTGGGTCAATTCAATGGCAATATAACATACTTAATATGTAAAATTAATGAATGTTTTGGTTTCCATTATACTAGTTTTCCTAAAATTGTTATTTTTAGAGCAGAACTTCATTTTATAATTGAGACTTCAACCATAATGACTGTTTACTCATAGATTCCATATTAACGCTACAATGTTATAGATCAGTTGCCAGATGTTTCTTTCCAAAATGTACCATCATTACCTTCCACATTTACACATTCTGACAAGTTCTTACTAATATGGCCTCATACACACATATCCCTTTATATTTGCAACATACTATGCTAATCCTTAACTGACCAAATTTATAGATTGAGTTTTATTAGACTAGATTTAAGGTCCTTAATATATTAAACTCTACGCTGTATCTCATACCTCAGAGCTGATGTTAATAGGAATTAAATAGAAAGGATAAATGGAAAACAGCAGAGACAGAAAATAGGTTATGTACTCACACAGGAGAAAAGTTTGGGAGGAGAGAAAAACTTTGTCTTTTTCTTGATACTGAGGCTTGAACCCAGGGGCACCTTACCACTAAGCCACATCCCCATCCCTTTAGACAGGGTCTCGCCAAATTGCTTAGCCCCTAAGTTACTGAGGCTAGTCTTGAGCTTGAGATCCTCCTTGCCTCAGCCTCCCAAGTCTAAGATTACCTAAGTCTATAGATATTTGAAGACCAAAAGAAAGATCTGTGGGCTTGCACAATGGCGCACACCTATAATCTCAAGTGACTCTGGAAGCAAGGCAGGGAGATCCCAAGTTGGAGGTTAGCTTCAAAACTTAGTGAAACGTTGCCAAAACATAAGTAAATAAAAAAGGTGGGTACTGTAGCAAGATGGTAGATCACCCCTGGGTTCCATCCCCAGTACCACAAGGGGAAAAAAAGGACTGTGGATATGGGGAAAAATGAAGATGCTACATATACTATTTGTGAAAACAGTTCTAGGTTTAAAACAAAACAAAACAAAAAAAGAATGCCAGGAAAAATAGATCAAGGAGTAATTTTTGAGATGTTTAAGGACTTGAGGTTTCAACTGGTACCTCAAGAAAATTTAAAATATAAGGGAATTCTCTCTATTCCCTTAATATTTTCCAAAAAGGTGATAGCATTCTATGAGAATATCAGAAATGGATTCTTGGGGCTGGGGATGTGGCTCAAGCGGTAGCGCGCTCGCCTGGCATGCGTGCGGCCCGGGTTCGATCCTCAGCACCACATACAAAGATGTTGTGTCCGCCAAATACTAAAAAATAAATATTAAAAAAAAAAAAAAAGAGAAATGGATTCTTTAGAGGGGAAAGGGGAAAGAAAAGAGGGGAAGGGAATCATGAACTGAAATAGATTTCCCTGCATGTATGAGTTAGTCAGAATGAATCCAACTACTACATATAATAACCATTAAGCTCTTAAAAAAAAAAAAAAGAAAGAAAAAAAAACAAAAGTAATGGGAATCTTTGTAGGGAGCTCACCAGAATCTGGTGATGAAAAGTGATTAAGATGGTTACAAAAAGGCTGTGAACAAAAGGGCTACAGGGATCTACAGCTTATTCAACTATTGCTCTAGGGGAAAAGCTGAAAAAATAGGCAGTGTGTGTTATTCAGTCTTAACAGTGAACTTCCCTGCTTCATTCATTTCAGCCTGTTTTACAGGCTAAAAGTTAACTCATTCAGTAACAGGAGCAAAGGTTTTACCCAAATCTCATTTGCTCTTTTCAGCTCTGCACCTTACTACATCATGCAGAAATAAAAGTCTTTTCCTGTCTACTATTCATTAGAAATATATTATGGTTTAAGACATAGAAACACTGGGATTAAAATCTTGGTCTCATTCTTTTTTAATGTAACAAATAAGAAGCACTAATAATTGATTTTTTAAAACTATATACAAGAAAATTCAGATAATATAGCTGGGTGCAATGGCATACACCTGTAATCCCAGTGAATGAGGACGTTGAGGCAGGATTACAAATTCTAAGCAAGCTTCAGCAATTTAGTGAGGTCCTAAGAGTAGCTTAGCAAGACCCTGTGTCAAAATAAAAAAATTAAAGAGGACTGAAGATGTGACTCAGTGGTTAAGCACCCGAGTCAATCCCCAGTACCCCCCCCCCAAAAAAAAAATGACATACCTTGCTTGTTTTACCAAGCTTTTCAGGTAGTAAACTGACATGGGTGAGAGGAAATATTAGAAATATGTAATTTCCAAGCAAATAATCTTTAAATCCCCACAAATGGTTTACAATAGTAAAATTCTTGTCAAATGCTTAGAGTTCATATTGAAGTGTCATTTGCAAAAAGATTAACGGGGCATAGTGGTGCACCACTTTAATACCCATCACTTGGGAGGCTGAGGCAGGAGGATGGCAAGTTTGAGGCCAGCCTCAGCAATTTAGTCAGTCCCTCAGCAACTTAGGAAGATTCTGTCTCAAAATAAAATTTAAAAAGAGCTGGGGATATAACTCAGTGGTAAAGCACTCCTAGGTTCAATCCCTAGTACCTGTCAACCCCCCCCTGCCCCCCAAAAATAACGACAAAGACTAACTCCTATGTCCAAAATAACTCTTTAAAGGTAAGTTTAAATCATATGCTTGGTTGTTTTTGTTTTTTGTTAATAGTGACCAAAAAAAAAAAAAAAAAAAAAAAGTCATAGAATTCTGGTAAAAGTTAAAATTTTTCATCAGGAAAGAAAAGATATCGTTGCCTGCATTTGGAATGTATGGAATTCATTCTCTATAGTGCCAAGTGAGCTAGTTTCCTTATTACCACTTTGTAGAAAAAAAGAAGAAAATAAGCAAAAATTAGCCTGAAATTGCATATACTAAGTGAATTACAAAGCTATTGTCTGTAACTTACAATAAGCTTATCTAACAAAAACACAGAAGTGTTTTATGATTTGCTTCCAATTAAAATTGTGGTGAAGTTTATGCCTGTTTAAAAAAATACATAATGTCTGATTAGAAAGAACACTGACCTTTTCTAATAAGTCTCCCTAACTCAAACACCAAAGTAATGAAGTACTGGTCAATACTGGTATAGGAGGTTTACTTACCATGTTACAAATGCTAAAATGTGGCTATAACCAATTCTTAGATATCTGACAAGCCTTATAACACTCTACTTTCGGTGGCTATTCAATTCACAGAAGCAGTTTATTATAAACTGAGAATTATAAGATCTGAGGCTCAACACAATTGCTGCATTCAATGGAATATATTGGGTCTCACTTTATTAAGATGTAAAAAGAAGAATTAAAACTGGGTGATCGATAAAGGTTCATTGTAAGTAATCTGATTTCCTTCTTTGAATTACTCCTGGATACCTCCTATAGGAGGCTATGAATGAAATGGTCAAAAGGAGTTAAAAGGAAGCCAATAGAAGAGACTAGACTGATTTGCCAATTTAGCTGGTAGGTAACTTTCCAGTTCCTAAAAGTTATAAATGTAAATAAAAGTTCTTCACAATTGAGCTGGTAGTTAACACTTCAAATCCTAAAAACTATATATGTAAATAATTACTACAAAGTTGTTTATAATATAACACAATCTAAAAACCACAACTCAATCTTCATAGCTAAGAATAAAT